GGACAACTGACTGAAGGCCTTGAACAAGTGGCTTCACTTCTCAGCCTGAATTTTCTCATTTATAAAATGCACTTCCTCCTGGGGCAGGTGTGAGGACTCCCCATCTGAAGTCCTGGGCAGCCATTAAACATGGCGCTCCCAGAAAAGAGGGCGCCCTCTTCCTGGCTCCTGTGAATCCTGCTCTGTGCAAGGAGGCTGCTGGGATTTAGGGTCATAGCCCTCCTCTTTCCTTCTACCCTGTGCGGCGCCCGGGTCAGCCCCTCCCTGTGGTCCAGGGCAGGAGGTGAGCAGGCAGGCCTGGCCCACAGGTTGCCGGGTTGGTGCATGACATCTGGGCTGGGACCTCTTCCCTGCCTTCTCGCTGCAGGGCAGAGGTCTCGTTTAGCACCACACACCGCATACCACACGCTGACAACACAGTGTCCGATTCAGGCTTTTGCATCATTCTTGGCACTGCATCAGCCTTGGGAAGGGACAGCTTCCTTCTCTCCTTACATGTGCATCCCTACCCCCAGCTGCCCACTTTAAGTGGTGTAGGGAGGGAGAGGGTGAGCTCAGGGCTAGGTGCCAAAGACAGCTTCCCCTCCAGCATTCTGGGTCCCCCCCCTTGCCCACTGCCTGGAGCTATTAATAACACCTCTGAGGAGATGGGTGTCAGCGGGACACCAGTGGGGCTCTGACACCAGGTGGGGTGGGGGTGGGGCAGAATAATAATAGCAAACACAAATGCAGGGCTTACTGTGTGCCAAGCACCGTTCTTAGTAATTTACACATGTGCAGGTATTAACTCATTTAATATAGTCAGGTATGGTTATTAGCCCATTTAATAGACAACAAACTGAGGCACAAAGGGGTGAAAACATGCCCGGGCTCACACACCTGGTAAGTGGCGGAGCTTGTGAAGGGGACAGTCCCCTGGGGCCCGGGGCTTGTTCCTGCCCTGTATCTGCCTTGCTGGTGAGCAGTGCCTCAGCCCTGGGCTCTGTTTCTTTCCTTTCCTCTGGCTCGGGAAGAGAAGGGAGACCGTGAGCAACCAGAAGTGGGGGCCCCATTCTGCTTCCATTCAGGTTCCAGCAAAGACAGAGACATGGAAGAGTATTTGGGGAGGGCCCCCCACTCTTCCTCCGTGCCGCCTTCACCCTAGAGGCTCCTTCCCCGCAGTGGGCTCTGTGGCCTTGTCCCTGGCTCTTGCCACTCTTGGTGGGTGGCCTTGCCTGTTGCATTGCAGTCGAGCACTTGAAACAAGGAATATTTTCTACAACAAGATAATTTCAGATGCAAACTTCTGGGGGCACAGAGGCAAGTCACAGTATCCGTTTAGGGCTTAGCATGGGTTTAAAATATTCCATAACCCCTTCCAGGCCATCTGTTCTCTAACTGGGGCTTATTAGTGGGAAGACCCTTCCTTCCTTCAGGCTCAGGCCCTCAGGGCTGGGGGCTGGGGCCCTTGGGCTCTTTGGCCTCCACTGCCCTTTTCCATGCCGAAGAGATTGGGGCCTTTCCTAGGTGACTCCCCTGGCTTCAGGTTGGACCTGCTGTCTGTCCTTCTGCTGGTGGCTCCTGGCAGCACCTGGGAATCTGTTTTCTCTCTGTCTCGCCTCAGGCTGGAGCTCAGGCACCTCTCCTCTCCTGCGGTCCCTTACTTAGTCCTGAACTCCACATCAGCACACCCTTGGCTTGCCTTCTCCAGGCTTACTGCACCCCACAGCTGTTTCCAAAGCCTCTTCGGTGCTTCCTGGCTCTGCCCCCATAATGTCAGCCAGGCTGCCCATCTGACCAACTTGAAGGCCTTGCTTTCATTGCTTGGGCTGGTTTTCATATCCGTTCACAGATTTCTGATAAACATGTGCCTGGATGTCAGTGACCAGTCTTCATGAGAAATTCTTACTATGTTGTTCTTAGAATTGAAAGTACAGCTCTAATTTACTCATTTTGTCAGATTGAATCCAGTTTTACAGATGAGGAAACCCTTTTCAGAAAGGCGCAAGCTAGGATGTACAGAACTGGGACACAAGTTGTGTGATTCCCAAGGCCAGGTGTGTTTGGTGAGCAATCGTGTGTAAGCCTGGAGGTGGAACCTGAGCCCAGGCTTTCTGTGGGTTCTCTTTAGCCTGATGCCGCCCACTACTGTGTCTAAGGTGGAACGGGCAGAGTGTGGAATGCGCGCTCTGAGCTCAAGGGGGGCCGACGGACATGCACTTGGGTGGGGCTTTGGTGTGTCCTCCCTTGGACACTCCGGTTGATTAGACCATGGACTGGTTCCCAGGTGATGGTCCCTGGGATGCAGACAAACCCAGCCTACAGTCTTGCTGGTGACATGTATGGGCCACATCAGCATGCTTCAGCCTCAACCAGAGGCAATGGGCGGGGCCTGTGCTGTAGCCCCTCTGCTCCTGGTTTGCCGTGATAAGTGCCTGTTGATAACAAAGCACTCTTAGGGATGTACATTCATTAGATGGCTCTGTGAGGGAGGGGGTGGGGACGTATTGCCCCGGCTGACATACAGACGCAGAATGGGCTTCGGAAGGTGATGACCTCCCCAAGGCTGTGCATCCAGGAACTGACAGATTCCAGCCTGAGCTTGGAAAACTTCAGACCCAAATCTCTGCTGCCTGTAAATCCATGACCTCATGTTGCCTCTGAGTAAATTGGACAACTGATTCTTCCTCTCTGGGTGTCAGTTCCTATGCGCCTGTAGGGGGCGATAGAGGTCTTTCCTGTTTGGCTTCTCTGGGAACTTGGGTCCTGAACCCATTGAACTTATTAGACTAATGCACGTTATTTCTCTGGGTTATAAGCATTTTCTCTGTGTCTACCTCCCATCACGTGCCACTCCCCTTCCCCCCACCAAGCCTGAGCTCTTTCAGATTGAGACTCTTCAGTTTGGTCTTGACATCCAGTGCCACGCATGGCTTTTTTAATGCTTATTGAATTGAGTTACATGCAAGTGAGATGGGCCAGTGCCTTCTGCTCCTGGTGGAGCACGGGAAAGGAAAACCTCTTCCCCCTGTCCTTCCGAATGAGTGGCAGAACTCAGGACCTGTGCCCTGTCCTCAAATGGCCACTAGGTGGCAGTGTGACCCCACGGGGACCTTGCCTCCCGCCTGCTCCTGTGCAGACTGAAATATCTGGGCCCCTGTTCGGGGATTGCCTCTGCCAAGTCAGTCTGCATTGGGGGTCTGAAAATGACAAGTCGTGGCCCTCCTCCCCTCCTCTAAAAGCTGTGTGGTGTCGTGGAAAAGGCTTGGGCTTTGGAATCCACCAGGCCTGGATTCCACCCCTGGCTCTGCCCTCCCCCAGGGACTTAGCCTTGGACACACTGCTTCTCTGAGCCTCAGTTTCCTCATCTTGCAAAATGGCAGTCGTACAGTTAGAAAAGGCCTGGCATCTGCTGAACGATAGCACAAATGAATACTAGCTTTGTTGGTGGAAATCTCTGTGTTTGCCTTTCACTGCCCTCCAATCAGACTCTGTTCTGGATTTTTGGACCAAGCTTCATGCATTTCCCACAGGTTTCTTGGCCCTTCCTGCTGCATCACGCCCTCCAACCCTGCTCCCTCTCAGTCAGTGCCCCGATTCCCACTTGTTGCCCTGCCTGGCTGCCTTCCCTTCTGCCCGTCCATTTCCTTCTCAGCCCGGCTGCCTCCCTCGTATCCCAGCCCCCTAAATGTGCTGTGTAGGGCTGGTCTTGACTTACCACCAAGTGACAAGTCGGCCAGGGTCCTTGTCTTCATTATTTTTGCATCTGTGCTTTGCACTTAGCAGCCGTTCTGCAGTGAAGGTGGCAGCTCCCATTACTGAGCACATGCCAGGCCCTGGTGTGCACTTTGCAGAATGGCTCATTTAATCCTTACAACAAGCCTATTCCTGTTTTACAAAGGTCTGTTTCAGGATTCTTTTGGCTCTGCAATAAAATATTCCACTACACCCAGTATAAATAGTAAGGAAAGATTATTATCTCACTAAAAAGAGGTCACGAGGGATTCCTGGTGTCGTTAGGAAGGGTAGCGGTAGTTGCCATCTCTCCTCATTGCCTTCCCCAACACTGGCTTACACTCCTAGGCTGGTCCCCGGTGTGGCACCAAGGTGACCGCCCTGACCTCAGGAGCTGTGCAGGAGAGATGATGCAGGTTCTTTTCGGTCACTTCATGAGGCCTCTCATCAGGTTTCCTACAAAGTTCTTTTAGGCCTGTGTTGGGTCTTACGGTTGTTCCCAAGCTCATCACTAGGAAAGGGCCTGGAATTAATGAGGCTGGCCTGGACTAGTCAAGGGTCAGCCCCTGAGGTTGATAAGGGCTCCAGGCTCCTTAATTGCTCCTGGCCCACCTGGTCCACGGAAGAAGAGGGGACAGGAAGGAGGCTCATGAGTTATGCAACTTGCTCAAGGTTGCCAGCCTAGTAAGAACTGGGATTCAAACCACAGTGGCCGACTCGGAGGCCATGGGCGAACGAAGTCAGTTGCGGAGGTAGAAAAAACATTGCCCTGGGTCTGGTGTGCTGGGGTCGTGCCATCTTGGCGGTAGCGTTCTATACTGACTCTGGAGGCTCACCTTTCGGAGGCCCCTTTCCGTTCTCTTACTGGCTTCTCAGTCCGCCTTTTTTCCCTTGCCTCCTTTGCCCCTGACCTCCGTGCCCAACTGCTGCCCGCCTCCTAGAATGGACTTCCTGCCCTTAGCTGGGGAAGGGCTCGCCTGGACAGAGGGGTCCAACGGCTTATCTCTGCGTAGCTGTCAAGGCCCCAGAGGAGTCACTTTGAGGTCTCTCTTGGAGCATGCAAGGGAGCCGCAGAGCTCTCGGTCAGGATTTGGGAAGGGGAGAGGCCACGGGGAGGACCAAGGGGACTGGTAGACAACGGCGGTGGGGGGAGTTCACGGTGCGTTCGTGGTGGTGTCAGCGGGCATGCGAGCCAGGGCCTTCGAATGGCCCCCGTGGGGCAGCAGCCGGCTGTGCCCCTGCAGAGACACTGCCGGTTGGTGTACAGCAGGCTGTTTGGCTCGCAGATGCTCCAGGATTGCCCCAAGGCGCGGCGCGAGGTGGAGCTGCACTGGCGGGCCTCCCAGTGCCCGCACATCGTGCGCATCGTGGATGTCTATGAGAACCTGTACGCGGGGAGGAAGTGCCTGCTGATTGTCATGGAGTGGTGAGCTGCCCTGCCTGTTCGGTCCCACCCGGCCGGTCCCCTCTCCCTGCTTGGGACCCCCACCCTCTGAGGGCGGCCCAGGCCTGGGTCCTGAAGCTTAGAATGTAAAAGCTTGATCTCTTTTGTGAGGTGATAGAGTGGGTGGCAGGATGTTGGGTTCCCCTAATCTAACTGTGGCTTTGTTTCAGTTTGGATGGTGGAGAACTCTTTAGCCGAATCCAGGACCGAGGAGACCAAGCATTCACAGAAAGAGGTAGAAAGGGTCTGTTGTGGGGACAGACTCAGGCAGGCAGGGCGGGGGTGTCTGCAGGGGGCCGCAGTGCCTGTGCCCGGGACAGCTGCCGAGCCCGCTGCCTCCTTCGGGCTACGGGGACGGCGTCCTCAGCTGCACCGCGTGTCTGGGTTTCTGGGGTGGGGAGTGGACGTGGAAGCCTTAGGAGGCAGTGGGTTTTCAAACCTGACGACACACCCGTGACTTCCTCTCCCTCTGCCACGTCTCTTCTCTACAGAAGCATCAGAAATCATGAAGAGCATTGGTGAGGCCATCCAGTACTTACACTCAGTGAACATTGCTCATCGGGATGTCAAGGTGCCCGCCGTTAATCCCCTCTTCCTGCCCCAACTCAGGGGCTGTGGAGGGCTGTGGGGGGCTGGCTGACCCCAGGGAGGGTGGCCAGGCTCGCCCTGCGTCTGTGCGTTGGCTCCTGAGAGCAGAGTGGGGTGTGTGCCATTCTTCACCCCACAGGGCCTGCCCTCCCTGTGCGAATCCCGAACCCAGCACCTCATGGTCACACCTTTGGTTTGTGTCCCTGCGGTGTTCATTGCTGGTTCTCTGCATCAGTCTCTCCTCTCCAAGCACGCTGGGTGCTCTCAGAGGGCAGGGATGGGGTCCTGTGTAGCTCACGTTCACAGTGTGTGGATCGTAGGGGCCAGACAGATGGCTGTTCCGTGGGCAAAGGAAGGGTGGTTTCTGGTAGCCCCACCCGGGCTCAGCAGCCTCATTCTCTCTCTCTCTCTCTCTCTCTCTCTCTCTCTCTCTCTAGCCTGAGAACCTCTTATACACCTCCAAAAGGCCCAATGCCATTTTGAAACTCACCGATTTTGGCTTTGCCAAGGAAACCACCAGTCATAACTCCTTGACCACTCCTTGTTATACGCCGTACTATGTGGGTGAGTCCAGCCGAGGCCAGGGGAGGGATCTCCTCACAACCCCCTCCTGTAGCTCTCGGGCGCCAGGCCCTAGGGGAGTTGGGTCTCTGATGTGAGCTGCCTGGAGGGAGGGCTCCTGAGCGTAAAGCTGGGACCGAGGCCTTGTAGGAGATCACCTGCCTGCGATGGTGGGTGGGATTTTGTGCACACGTGCGCTTTTCCTGAGAAGAGCTCTTGGTGCCGTCAGATCGCCAGTGGGTCTGGGACACGGATTTGGTCCTGAAGCCCAGCTGACTAGTGCAGAATAAACTCAGAACGTGTTTGTCCACAAGGGTCTGGAAGGCTCTTGCAGTTAAGTAGTTGTGTCATCTTATGATTCGAGCTGTAGGTTCCTTTTAGAGGAGGGTCTTCTGCTCTCCTCCATCCCACCCTGGGGCTGGGTTATGGCTTTTCCCCTCCCACCCCCAGCTATAGTCCCATCTTGGTGGGCCAACGGGTTGAGCTGGGAGCCCTGTCCACAGAGAAACAGGTAGAGTGCAGTGTCCCGAGGGCCAGACTAACCCACGCTGACCTTTGGTTTGCAGCCCCAGAAGTGCTGGGCCCAGAGAAGTATGACAAGTCCTGTGACATGTGGTCCTTGGGTGTCATCATGTACATCCTGTGAGTGTGCAGGGCTGGGCCTGGGCTGGCAGGGGCTGGGAGGAGGCCGGTACCCCCAGGGACAAGGGGAGGAGGAGAGAAGAGCATCCCCCTTCCAGATGGGGCCTCCCTGGGAGCCCCCACACGTTCCCTCTCTCCATGCTTTGCAGGTTCTGATAGCTAAATGGTGGGTACAAATTAGCTAACAGTCAAGAAAATGTGTGGCTTAGATACTTGGTATGTTGGATTCCTAAGCCTTGTCCTTGATTTTGTATATTGTGCCTGAGTCCGTGAGACAGCTTCTCTGTGAGAGATCAGTTTCTCTGTGACCTTTTCAAGAAGCTTGTTTCTCACACTGTTTCTGGTTCAGGGCCCCTAAATAACACCAACTCTGTCCCTCTCTTCCTGCTTCCTCCTGGGCCAGGCTGTGTGGGTATCCCCCCTTCTATTCCAACCATGGCCTGGCTATCTCTCCGGGCATGAAGAGTCGCATCCGAATGGGCCAGTATGAATTTCCTAACCCAGAATGGTCAGAAGTATCAGAGGAAGGTAAAGAGCCCCCCCGTGTGTGTGTGTGTGTGTGTGTGTGTGTGTTCATCTGTACGTGTGGGCATCCGTCTCACATGGTTTAGCTGTGGGTCTACACCTGTGCTCACACCTGCTGGCTCTGTCTTCCCTGGGTGAGGGGCCTGGCTCAGGGCCGGGGTGTGTAGGGCCTGTCAAGCGGTATGGCCGTTTGGTCCTGGGGCCAGCTCCCTAGGCAGTGTGCCTCTGCGTAAGCCCTGCTTTGGACCTGGCCTCCCCCTGAAAGCTTTGGGAAGGAGCAGGGAGGGAGGCCCCCCTGAGCCGTCTCTGTCCGTCACCCCATCCCCACAGTGAAGATGCTAATCCGGAACCTGCTGAAAACAGAGCCGACGCAGCGAATGACCATCACGGAGTTCATGAACCACCCCTGGATCATGGTGAGCCTGGCAGCCCGAGACGCCTGGGTCCCTGGGAACTGTCCCTGAGAAGTGGGGCCGAGCCAGGACTCTGTCCTGACCCAGCTTCCAGGTAAGCCCTTCTTCTCTCCCCTCAGCAATCAACGAAGGTCCCTCAGACGCCCCTGCACACCAGCCGGGTCCTGAAGGAGGACAAGGAGCGGTGGGAGGATGTCAAGGTGAGCAGCAGCACAGCCGAGTTGGGGCTGGGGGGGCAGTTCACAGGGCACCTGGCTGGGGGAGCTTGGGTCTGCGTTCGCTCCCCATATGGGACGTCTGCTACCAGAGGAAGTGCGACTCTGAGCCACTACCCCGAGCACGCTGTGGGCAGAGGAGTCTGCATTCTGGCCCCAGCCTGCCTGTGGCTGTTGCCGTAAGCCCTCTACTCCTTGAGTCTCTGGGACCTGACAGGCCGTCTGGTACCATCTCCTGATTTTGCAGGTGAGGCAGCCGAGGCCCAGACAAGGGGAGTGACCTGCTCAAGGGCACACAGCTAATGACTGGCTGGGGCAGTCCAGAACCCAGGCCTCCTGACCGCCAGTGCCGCGGTCTCAGCCTTGCTGGGGGACCAGGAGGCTCTGGCATGGTGGCAGCAGTGCTGTGGCCAGGCCCTGCCCACCGCCCTGGGGCTGGGGCTGCTGTCAGCTCTGGCCCCCTGAGCAGCTGTCCCATCTGCTCCCGCCCTCTGCCACCCTCCCCCTTGCCCTTCTCGGTGTCTCTTGGTGTAAACTCCCTCCCTGCCACCTTCAGGAGGAGATGACCAGTGCCTTGGCCACGATGCGTGTCGACTATGAGCAGATCAAGATAAAGAAGATTGAAGACGCATCCAACCCTCTGCTTCTGAAGAGGCGGAAGAAGGCTCGGGCCCTGGAGGCCGCGGCGCTGGCTCACTGAGCCCCAAGCCCGTCCTGCTCCACTGGACGACAAGCAATAACTCTCGACCGAATATATTTTTTAAACGAAGAGACACAGAACTGTTCACTTCCGCTGCCCTCCTTCTTGGCCGCGCAGAGCCTGGAACCCCATCCGAGGCTGAATTCTGCCTTCGCCTCCGGCCACCCCAGAGAGAGGGAGGCTGGGAGGCCCGGGGACAGAGAGAAGGGAGCGCGATGCTCTTGAACCTGTGCTCGTTTTGCAATTTTATCAGTGATTTGACTTAGGATTTTTATGAAACTTTTATGGTTCTATCTGCCTCTCCTCCTCTCCCACAAACCCTATCCCCTCTGGATACTGCAGGGGTCCGGGGCTTGTTAGGGGGCTTGTGGAACCTGTCACAGGGAGTGTGCTTGTGTTGTCCTCCCTGCCCTCTCTACTTCCCCACTACAGCCCGAGGCCCCTGCTGGCTGAGGCACTCCAGGAGCTCAAGGCCATAGAGGGCTGGGGCCAGGGTGCTGGCCCCCTCCTCTCCTCGGACCCCCAGACATCACCAGTGTGCCCGCCGTGTGAGCGTGTGTGCACGTGGGCTGGGGCAGGCAGGCCTGTGGAGGGAGGGGGCACCGCCGCAGCTGCAGAACCGCCTGCCCCCTCAGGCCGGCCCTGCCCAAGTCCCTGGGAAGCCCGCCCAGGTTCCGAGCCGGGCCCTCCCCAGCCAGCCTCCGGAGGTGGTTCCGGGAGGTGGGGGGTGACTTCGGGCGCTAGCCCCACAGTCAGGAAGCCTGGACCGCCCCCTGTGCCCCTCCACCCCTGCCCCTTGTGCCAGTCCAGGCCTCTGAGGCGCGGCTCTACCGAGTGACCTCTGTACCTCCCCTTCCAGCCATCACTAACCCATCCTTGTTTCTATTTCTTACATTTTTACCCATCTCTCCATAGCCTTCTCTCAGCCCGCATGGTGAGGCTGGGAAGTAGGTGGCGCAGAGCTCCTGACTCCCGGGTGTTGCCTGGGCTCTGGGGCTGCTGGCCAGCTGCCCCTTGTGGGCAGAGGACCGCCGCTCTTGCGGGGCTGCTGCAGATTTCCATCCTGTGGCCTGGTGGGCCGGGGGGGGGGAGTCTTTGCGCCAAAGATACCCCGACTCTGCCCCTTCCCCATTAGCCGTCCATCCCTACCCCAGACGACTCAGCTTCCTGTGTCCAGGCCAGTGAGGGGAGCGTGCGGTGGGCCCTCCCCAGTATCAATGAGGAGCCCCATGGGGAGAGGTCCTGTGGGCCATGGCCGCCTCGGGGCAGGGGCAGCAGTAATGCTTTAGTTTTCATCTCCCTCAGGGGCAAGGTGGTGGAGGGGCCCCCATGGTCCCCTCTGGGCGTCAGGGAAGGGCTCAGTGCCTGCAGTGCCTTCCCAGCTCTGATGAATTGTCAGCACGCAGACTGGTGTAACTGTTGTTTTGTATGAGCAAAATTGTCTTTACTAAACTGATTTGATAGTTGAAAAGCTTTCTTCCTCTTCCTTCATGGGGCTCAGCCCCTCGAGCCCCCACCTCTCCTCTCCTCTCACCGTGGAGAGCGGCTCTATGCGTTGGGAAGGCAGAGTGTGGGCGTCCTCTGGGAGGAGAGGAGAGGAGAGGGGTGCCCAGGAGTGCGGGCCTCGCCAGGACCGCCTGTGGAGGGTGGATGCTGCTGCCCTTCAAGAGCGGGGCAGGGGTGCCACCAAGGATTGGGGTGTCTGTGCCCATTTGCCAAATGCTGAGTCAGGAGCCAAACTGTGTCCTGGTACATGGTTCTTTGATCTAGTCCGTCGCAGCCAGGTGCTGGCACCCTCATCCTGGGGCGGGGTCTGGCTGGCCTGGGGCTCCAGGAGAAGCTGGTGGTGATGATTTGGTTCAAAACCTGGCCAAGAGCCCAGGACGCAGGTCACTGTAGTTCCTGAAAGTTCCAGCAGAGGGTGATAAGGCCTGGCAGAAACCAAACACTCTTCCTCAGATCTGGCAGAGGCCTTAGCGTTCACCTGACCCATTCCCCTCAGTGCACAGGGGAAAAAACTGAGGCCCTGAGTGGGGTGTCTGAGATCACACGGTGCGCGGTTTGCCGTGGGGCCTGAAGCAGAAACTGACCTCACTGCTCTCCCTCCCAGTCGGATGGGAGGTGACGCATCCTGGGTGATTTCAGGTTGTCCCCACGATCCTCAGAGTGGACAGGAGAGAGGCAGGGCACGATAGCTCCCCCCGTTTCATGAGGAGGAAATCTGGGAGGCTGAAGGAGTATGTGGGAGGTCACACAGCTGTCGGTTTGGACTAGAGCTCAGGGTGGCCTGGCCCGGGGTGTTCCTTGCCCCTGCTGGACAGATGCCTGCTTGTCCCCTTGGTCATCGGTGGGATCACATCTCCACTGCTCAGGCTCATGGGCACAAGCAGGGTGGCACTGGTGGCCTTCATAGCTCCTGAACAGATTGCTGAGGTTGGCACCTGTCCTGAAACTCTACTCATCACTAGAACACTGCTCGAATGGGCTAGCGTGGGAAATCCTGTTGGGGCTGCATCTATAAAGGTGTCAGAAGTTGCAGAACCTGGGCAAGGGGAACGAGCAATGGGGAGGGAGCTGCCAGCATCCCGCTGTCTCTGGAGCCTGCATCAGTTTTCTGTGGCTGGCATGGTACACTCATGGCTGAAAGCAGCGCAGCTTTAATGTCTTGCAGTTCTGTAGACCAGAGGTCTGGTAGGGTCTCACTGGGCCAAAATTAAGGTCTCAGCAGAGCCGTGTACCTTTCTGGGGGCTCCAGGAGATTCTGTCGCCTTGCCCGTTCCAGCTTCGAGAGGCTTCCTGCATTCCCCGGCTCATGGCCCTCTTCCTCCATGTCAAGGCATCTCCCTGACCCTTAGCGGGTCGTCACATCTCTCTGACCTGGCCAGGAAGGATTCTCCACTTTCATGGACCATGTGATTAGGTCGGGCCTACCCAGATGATCCCAGATGATCTCCCCACCCCCGGTCCTTCACCTTAGTCCCGTCTGCAGAGCCCTTTTGCCCCGTAAGGTGCATGCTCACGATGCAGGGATTAGGATGCGGGTGTGGGGCCGCTGGTCTGCCGTGGGGGCCTGTCTCCAGCCTCCCAGCCTCCCAGCCTCTTACTATGCGCATTGATACTTGGGTTGCGCTGCTGCCTCTGAGTCCAGCTCAGGACACTGGCCAGTGGTGATCCGGCCTGAGTTGGTCTTCAGGGAAGATGGCCCAGTAGGGGCCTGGCTTGGCAGGTGGGGTCTTGCCTTGCCTTTGCACTCTTAGGTCCCTGGCCTTACACACAGGCATGGCCCTTGATTCCCTGGCTCTGAGGAGAGCTTTCATCTCCTCTGCTAACCCCCCAGGTGAGAGGGCGATGGGGGGCATTTGTGCCTGAAGGCAGAGGCTGCTTACAGGGGTGCCAGGACACGGCTCCTGAACGCCCTGAAGTGGCGTGAGATGTAAAGCGGACTTAGGGACCCTTGTGGGCATTTACTAAGCACCACGATCCTGTGCTGGCTTGTCCCCTTGATCTTGTTACTGTCAGGAGTGCCTCCGAGGCAGCCAGTCTCATCTCCGGTTTACCTCAGAGAAGTAACACGACTCTCCCAAGGCCTCACACGTAAGCAGAGGTGAATCTGATGGGAGTCTCCGCTTCCAAATTTAGACATTCTTACAAAACACCAGTCCTCTTGATAAGGAAGTCGGGCAAGGGGAGGCAGATCCACTGAGTAGAGCTGAGTTTCCTGTTCTGTGACATGAAGGTGACATGCCCACGCTCTGGGGCTGTTATGAAGAATTCAATGAGATCATGGATTTCAACGCTAGGTAAGATGCCAGGTGCCAGCTGGCCTTTATCGTTAGTAGAATCTCACCATACGGAGGCCACAGGAAGCCCCTGGTTTGGAGCGGGGTCTGGTCTAGGCTGAGTCTGTGTGCTTGAGGTCATGCCTGTGCTTTGGGGCGAGGACGCAGTTCGGTTGGTAAACAAAAACAGTAAAATTTGGGGTTTTCCTTTGACTAGGCTGGAGACAGGAAATGCTGAGGGCTGTGAATGACAAGTGGGTAGAGTGGGTAGGTCAGGTCAGGCCTGCTCTGGGTGTGAAGGAAATTCAGTTATTCAAGGGAGGAGGAGGGGTTGGTGAGGCTGGGGAAAGTGGCTGTCCCACCCCCTGGGGAATGTAAACAAACCAGGGGGCACTCCCCGGGGGGCCAGCAGGGGCATGCAGGAAGCTGTAGGGGGCCACCTCTGCACCATAAGCCCCAGGAATACAGCTCCCCCTGGCTCTGTCTCTTAAAGCACACCTTAGGGGCCACACTACTACTGCTGGGGAAGTCTGGCCAAGGTTGGGAGTAGCCATTCTTTGGAAGGGACACCAGGCTCCAGCACTGGGGCCCTTCTGGGGGAGTTCTGTACCCCTTTTTCCCCTGCACTCAGGCCAGTGTAAGGGGAACATTCAGCATGGTGAATCGCTAAATACCCAGGCACTTGTCTCACGTGCTGTGCTTTGCAGCAAACAAGACCTGGTTCCCCAGTCAGCAAGATACAAAACACACTTGCGCCCTTGAGAGCTCTCGTCTTTCTTTTCTCTGCATCCACAGGCCTGGATACATCACTTTGTGGTCTGAATGGATCCATTCAAAACTGTGAGGGTGTCATGCAAGCCCAGGTGGCCCAGGCAGCCTCTCAGGGCCCTAGAGGTTTTGAGACTGGAGGGTTGAGCGAGGTCAGAAAAAGCAGGTGCTGGCTGTTCATCCTGTTTGGATGAAGCCCTCAAATCCATGCCTGGCTGGGGATGAGATGGGTCCCAGGTGTGCGAGCGTTAATGGCGGCCCTGCCAGGACTTGGAGAGGCAGCAAACACTCTGGGGGTGTGCAAGGATAGGACTGCACCCCCAAGCTACAGCCACCCTCTGAGTAGGGGAGTCCGTGCTTTGGTGTCCTCTGTCTTATAAGCAGTCTGAGAAGCCTTTCCCTGCTTTTCAAGAGCAAAGACGCCACGTTTTGATGCACCTCATCTTGAGCACCTCCTGTGTGTAGCATCTGGCTCCCGGGACTTTGGGCAGACGGGTGAGTTAGAAGAGCGGCTAGCCTCCCTCATGGGCCTTTGTCTAGAGGAGAGATGGGTGTGAACATGGCAGATGGCAGGGAGAACTGGGGCTTCCGTAGGACAGGGCCAGAGCAGGGGGCGGGGGGACGTGGGGGCCGGTGGAGCCTCTGAGACCCAGGGTCGCCTCCTGCGAAGCCCTTGGAGCTGGTGCTTGGAAGCCAGTTTTGATGGTAGAAAGTGAGATTTTTCCCATCAGATTTCTGCTCTGATCTCTGCCAGAGCCAGATCCTTCTCTGAGTCTAGGTTCCCCCTTCTGTCTGCCCGTCTGAACTGCTCTCTGCTCGTGGCTTCAGCTGGACCTTTGCCCACGCAGTTCGTCTGTGGGAAATAGATCCGCACCCTCTGTGGGGCGTCCTTGGTATTTTGTGTCCGTTTTCTCATTTCTGCCCCTTCAACCTGGATTCCCCTCCTTCACCATCTTTGTTTCCCCCTAAACCAGAATTTGGGAACATGGCCTGAGAGGGATTTCCCCACCTCAACTTGAGTTCATTACTTTTTAAAGAAGCCTTACAAGGTTCTAAGCTAAACTTAGATCATTTTTAGTTGTACATTTTAGAAATCCTCATAGAAAAGGATAGCAGTATGTGAAATTGGGGGTCCTGGCAATTTGGGACAAATGGTTGTCAAGGGCTTCCTAGCTTCTCTCCCTTCTGGGTGTCACTCCAAGTCCCTGCTCATCAAGGTCCTTTATGCCACAGGTCAGCATGTTAAACGGGAACCGCTTGGGGGCCTCTGGGTAACAAATACAAATGTTAATGTACCTCAGCCTCCGCACTTTGTTTTTCACACCCTCCATCTCAAACCTGGGGTTACCTGGGAACGCACAGCTGCGCTGTGGAGGGTAGGAAACTACTACCTGGAGCCTCTGGCCGGGAAGTCTTGGCTGGGAAGCCTGAGGGACCTCAGGTGGGGAGGCCAGGGGAGCGGCCGCTGCTGAGAGGCCCGGAACCTGTGTGTGGTGAGCCATTTTTAGGGGCCAGGACTGCCATGCAAATGCATTTGTTTGCATAACTTTCTTGCTCTAAGGGACAGTGAAGTTTCCTACCCCATCCAACACCCCTGTCAGGATTTGCAAGTGAAATACTGGGACTGGCTTTCCCCCTTTGCGATGCCCCTCTGTTCCCAAGTCCTCTCTCCTCACCCTGGGTTTGTTTCTATCTCTCAGGCCCCGTGTGACCAAATAGTGGCCTTAACCACTCTGAACCTAGGGGAGCAGTGTTCCCGGGGCCCTGAGATGCAAAGTCTCCACAAAGGTCATGCAAATGAGCCCCCAGTGTGGGCAGCTCTGCCCCAAGCCCAGGCCAGTCACTCGCTCAGGCCACTGCTGCCTGAGACCAAGGGAAATGTGATCTTGGCCCTTCCTCAGTCCAGGCAGCTGTGGGTGTCTTA